ATTTTTTTTCAAATATTGTCATTTTTTGTTTGCAAACAAAAGTTTGAAACATCTAAGTACCCATTCTACTGAGATATTTTTAAAAGGATGTACAAAAATTTGAAAGGAATATTAAACTTATAATTTTTTTTAAAAATAGATAATTTCAGCAATATTATATGTTCTTACTAGTAAATGTTCTTACTAAATGTTCTTACTAAATGTTCTTACTAAATGTTCTTACTAAATGTTCTTACTAAATGTTCTTACTAAATGTTCTTACTAAATGTTCTTACTAAATGTTCTTACTAAATGTTCTTACTAAATGTTCTTACTAAATGCCAATTCAAAAATCGAGGGTAGATTTTTTCAAATATTCTCAGGTTTTGTTTGCAAACAAAGTTCTACTCATTCTACCTTGATATTTTTGAAAGGATGAACATTGGAAGGAATATTAAACATCATATTCAAAAATAGATTATTTCGTCAATATTATGTTCATACTAAATGCCATATATTTTAGCTGCAGTCAACAGGTCAAATATAAAATCATAAACCTTCAACTTCAACCAAGACATTTAGTATCAAACAATAATCTTGACCCCCCACCCAAGTGGCAATAAATATTGTCCTTCTGGTTTCAGCCAGTTCAAACCAGTTGACACTAGTTCATGCGAGAGTCTGCTAATGTCCAAGAAGCACTCTTTGCTAGACAGATGACTTCAAGTTCAACCAAGACATTTAGTATCAAACAATAGTCTTAACCCCCAGCTCAAGTGCCAATAAATTTATGTCCTTCTGGTTCCAGCCAGTTCAGACCAGTTGACACTAGTTCATGCGAGAGTCTGCTAATGTCCAAGAAGCACTCTTGGCTAGACAGATGACTTCAAGTTCAACCAAGACATGTACATTTAGTATCAAACAATAATCTTGACCCCCAGTTTCAGTGGAAATAAATATTGTCCTTCTGGTTCCAGCCAGTTCAGACCAGTTGATGCCAGTACATGCATGTGAGAGTCTGCGAATTTCCAAGAAGCACTGACTTGCGCTAGACAGATGACTGAGTGTGCTACCTACGTAGTGTCTCAACCTTTTCTTGGTAGGACAGGAAAAAAGGCCGACTTTGAAATTGAAGAGACTACGTTAGTTTGTATTGGCTCGGGTGCGGAAGTCTGGACTTCCCTTCTAGTTAAAAGCACTCTGTCTGTGTCATAAGAGAAGTTGTTGTTTTTATAATGGGCAATAAGACTGCATGTGACTGTGAGGGTATGCACTTATGTGACAGGCCTCGAAATCAACTTTTCTTCCAGTATTGTCCCGGCACTGTCCCAAAAATAAATTTCAGTTGTCCCGAAGTGAGGATGAACTGTCCCAATCTGTTTTGGGGGGGAAGTTAAAGAATTTGTATGACTTAACTTGGAGGCAACTTTTTTAATAATAATTGTTCACTCCCAGGTGCACTATAATTGCAGAGTAGACAGGAAAGTTGGGGGGACTTTTCCGGATCAAAAAGCCGGGACGTGTGCCTGATTAACAAAAGAATGGCTGACATTCTGATGTTGAATATTTTTCTATTGTCCCAAAAATGTCCCAAAGTGTCTTTTTACTAGTAGTTGTTCCAGCCTAAATTCTAGTGGTCAGTGGACCACCTTTAATTTCAAGCCCTAAGTGAGACTCAGAGATGGTCACAAGGTGATGTCATCATCATACACTGATGTAAGGGACTATTAAAAAGAAATTAACTCACCAGAAATTTTCGACTGAATCGCTCAGTCTTCATCAGCTTTATGACTTAAAAAGTCATGTGTCCACAGCACTTAAAGCTGAAAGAAGACTGAACAATTCAGTCGAAAAGTTCTGGTGAGTTTTTGAGTTTTGAGTTGGAGAACAGTCTAATTTTCTTCAATTGAACTTTCATGCTAGTATTAGACATTTTTCAGAAGGAGCAGGTTGGCAGAACATACTGCGCCTGTGCGAAACCCTGATTATTGACGGTTTTCGGTGGATTTTTGATCGACGTTGTACCAGAATTTTGCCTGTTGCAGAGGACATCTTTTCCGACACAACATTTGGAAACTACATGTACAAACGGGATGTTAACCCTATATGACTATATGTGCGAATACGACCTTCTGAGACGTTTTACCGAATGCTGTGCACAATACATTACAGTCAGTGTCGTTCTGTGCAGGTGAAGTACGTTCTGCCGACATGAGAAGGCCTTGATAATACTGTAATGAATCCTGGTAGATTTATGCCTAGGAAAACAATGTTGTGTTTCCTGTTTCAGTCCTGAAAAAATTAGAGTCGGTGGCTAGGAATTATCTTTTTTTTCTTCCTTTAAATTTTTTATTTTACCTTGGCTAGTGATCCAACTCATCATACAATACAGTTTAACAAAGTAAAACATGCAAATGAGGACACTCAGTATGTTTTTAATATGATGACAATGTTGGAAAACCGATTGTACAGTGTTTCATCTCTCAGGTGTCAGATCACAGAGCTAGAAAAGGTTGATCAGCTCAAAAAAAAGTATGTATTTGCTGGAATTCACAACAAAAAAAGACTAGGGTCGGCAGGTATTTCTTCGGGAAACAGGAAACAATTTTTTTTTAGGCCTTATGCAAGTTGACGTTAAAGTCTGTGTGATGTCATAACCTGTACTTTGATGATCACTACTTGCTGATTTTGGAATGGGGTTTGCCAATGAATACACTTTCCACAGAGTTGACGCCAGTACATCTACGTCACTGGCGACCACAGAAATGTTGTTTCTACTCAATAGCTTTAAAGCACTGCGTCAGAGGAAGGAAACGATTTTGTAACAAAGTGCTTTCGTGGAAATGAGTCTGACATAATGTCTAGAAGGTGTGCTTTTTCAGACAAGGTGTTGTTTGTAATATTAAGAATATATGAACTGAAGGACCTGAATGAATAACATAGTAACGAACTGAACATGCTAGCGCTGCTCATTCAACCTTTTGCAGTGACTGGACAGTGTGACTGTGAATGAATAGAAGATTACAGTAATGTGCAAAGGAAGCCTTACATGTAGTTGACCATCATCTTCTATATGGTAAGTAGTATTTTGTTTTTGCAGCTTTTTCCTTTTTAAATTTTTTGCTAGGTGTCCATTTTTTTATTGTATGCGGTGCACAAGCTTTTCAGGGGGGGGGGCTTTTTTAAAATTTATAATATTCTCAAACACTACCTTCAGTAAACCATCATTTTTGTATTTATAGTAAGGCTGAAGGGAGGCATGTGTGCATGGCTTGGGTTGGGAGTGGAAAAAAATTGGGTGTCTTTACTGACTTAAGGGTGCCTACCAAAAAAGGAGCCCAGCGTCCGATTTCTTATTATTTTCAGTACAGGGAGTTCAAAAGACACCCTGGACACCCCCCAGCTAGCTAAAATCCTGTTGCATAAATAATTATATCTGAGATATAGAAATCATACTTAGATTTTGTTATCTTCCTTTTCTTTCTTTTTTCTTTGAAGTTCCTTCAACAGCAGGAAACTTGCATTGGAGGAACATGAAATATGTCATTTGTGTTATACATTGCTAACGTTCTTTGACAGTTGACAGTGAGCATGACCTTAGAGTACCTAACAGGTACGCAGAATGACCGGCAATAACCTTTTGTATTTGTGTTTAAATGGTGCGTTAAGCTGTGAACTGCTTTCTGGGAAAAGCTGCTTACAAGTGCTTTTCAGCATAACTTGCATAATATGTTTGCCTTGGTGAAAGGTGTCACTTTCATAGACCACTGAAAAAATACAAACAATCCAGTACGTTATGTGTAACATATGCATAGACCAACCAATGTTGGTATGCCAAGCATTTTAACAATATTTCATAGGCCAACTTGTGATATTTTCCTTCGGGGATGCTGCAATTTGTTTAAAGGCCACAGCAAGTAATTTTATGGATGACATCAGCGCACGCATTAATTTTCGCCTGATTTTGGGGAAAAAAAACAAGAAATTTTGTTGCCCTCTGACAGTGGTCAACATACCGAAAATGGGCAAAGATGTCTGTTGCCATGCCGGAAGGTGGATGGCAGATAAATATGAAGACAGGAGACAAGAAAATACTCTGATTCAATGTCTTGTTTTTTTACTTTGATGCATTGATATGTGATGCTGGCTGTGTATATATGTACATTTGTATATGTGATGTTTCTACTAAATCAAAACCATTTGTACAATGATTGAGTCAACATTTGAGAATGTAGGAACCTTGTTTTTTCGGCCCGCCTTGTTTTTTTTTGCCTGCTCGCATTAGATTTGGAGTCTGCGGAGGATGTCATCCATAAAATTTACTTGCTGTGGCCTAACTTTCATGATCAGCCACTGGCCCAAACGCTGGCGCCACACCCGTCACTAACATGTATGTCAGACAGTTTGCTGACATCATGATTTTTTTCTCCATATGAATCCCAAATATTTTGTAAGGCCACAGCATGTAAATTTTATGGATGACATCCTCCACAGACTCCAAATCTAATGCGAGCGGGTGAAAAAAAAAACGATGGGCCAAAAAAAACAAGGTTTCTACATTTTGACTCAATCATTGTAGAAATGGTTTTGATTCAGTGGGAACATCACATATACACAGCCAGCATCACATATCACAGCATCAAACTATAGCTAAAAAACAAGACATTGAATCAGAGTCTTTTCTTGTCGCCTGTCTTCATATTTATCTGCCATCCACCTTCCGGCATGGCAACAGACTTTTTTGCCCATTTTTGGCATTTTGACCACTGTCAGAAGGCAACAAAATTTCTTGTGTTTTTTTTTTCAAAATCAGGTGAAAATTAATGCACATGCTGATGTCATCCATAAAAATTACTTGCTGTGGCCTGAAGAAAGCTCCTGCTGTCCAAATGCCTTTTAGCTTCTGACAACACCGTTTCATAACACGACTTGTTTTTGAAGACTTTTAAACGTATTCCTTGGAATGAACTTATGTAACCCCAAAGACATTTGAGCAGACTAACATGAGGTAACCTGGACAAATGTTACGTGGCTTAGACACGCAACCTTGCCATGAAATACTTGTTTACGCGGCAGACATGTTTGCCTGGACATGCTGTGCGATGTTGACCCAAATACCTTCGGAGAAAGCCCTCGCGGCCTTGTTGTCACGTTCCTCGAACGTGTGCTTCGCTGTCTTCCCATTCGCTGCCTTCTTGACAGCTGGCATGGGCAGCATAGTTCAGTGATACCGCTGTCTCTGAGCTGTGCAGCGCTGTTCAGTTTTTCCACTGTTACTGTACCGATCAACACATATGGACGATCACTTCAGAATTGTCGTTCCTAGTTGTTTCATTCAGCCCAGAGAGCAGCCATGTTTTGCCTTGGTAAGTTGATGTCTTTATTGAGTGTGTAAAACTAAATTTTGGTTGTCTTGTATTTTTCAGAACTTCAGCCAAGAAGACAAGTTGGACAACAGTTTTGGAAGACTCCCTTATAGAGGTTTTAGTCTAGTGAAGTCAGTAACAATTCTTTTCAACAATGTGTTAGTAACATATATTACCTTATTAAGTGTATATAATTGCTACGTATACATGTATATACGTTGTTTATTTGTTTGTTTTGTATTACCGGTAAAAAGAAACCATCTTTTATTAGGTGTATTCCCACCAGTTTTGTACATGCGACTTTTCTCAGTAATTTTTTGTCAGTAATTTGTGACTGAAAGTTTTATTGTGGACCTTGTTCATTTTTTGTACATGAGACTTTTGTCAATAACTTTTTGTCAGTAATTTATGACTGACAGTTTATTGTGGAACTTGTTCATTTTTTTTGTACGACTTTTGCCAGTAATTTTTTGTCAGTAATTTGTGACTGGAAGTTTTATTGTGGAATTTCTTCATTTTTTTGTACATGTGACTTTTGTCAGTAATTTTTGTCAGTGACTGAAAGTTTTATTGTGGAACTGTTAATTTTTTGTACATGTGACTTTTGTCAGTAACTGAAAGTTTTATTGTGGGACTAATGTTAATTTTTAAAGATTTCTTCTGTCACTGTTTAACTTTCTTGTACTAAAATCAAATTTTGCTTCTCTTTTTGTCACAAAATTCTAGCCTTTGCTCAAATACAAGGTCCAGCCATGCAGACCATGCGGCCGAGCTCCCATCTGTTTGTCAACCCTGAACTGACCACTTCGTCAAGTTCGTACTGTACGATAACGTCCAGTATGGACAGCAGTACTCGGTCCGAATCCTTCCCGGGGGCCGTCCAACCGCAGAGGGTCAGTCCTGAAGAGTCCATCTGTAACACGTTTTGGCGACCGCGGCTCACGTTCCACTCGTTCCAACACGGGCGCTCGCTGGTGGACTTCGGATCGCTCTGGCCGGACGGCGATCACTTGCGGATACTGGTGGGAGAAATCCACACCAACACGTCCCTACAGGGCGCTGTCCTGTATCTGTGTAAGCTGGTCCTACGCTGTGGGCCTGTGAGAGTGTTGAAGGCTCTGGTAGAGCAAAAAATCATTGGTAAATATATATCTTTCTTGTACCTTTGGTAGAAAGGGTGGTGTAACACTGTGGGCCTGTCCAAGTGTTGAAAAATCTGGTAGAACAAAAAATCATTGGTATTAATGTATTATATGATAGCTTTAGTAGAAAAAGTCTATATTGTTGTACAATCATTTTTATTTGACCTTGGAACGGCATTTGGACGTGGTGTTGGATTACGTCAGACTCTATGATTTGATGAGTTGGTTTTGTTACGTGAAGAAGGTCATGACCTCCGGATGGAGTATTGTGGGCAGTTGGTTTTTCATGTTCGCAGGTAAAACACACGGTTCCCTTTGTTTAATAGGAATGTAAGTTTATATGCCATCTGCGGGCATGCCTGTGATGATGTGCACATTTTAATTTTTACCGTAGCTGTTTTCATGGTCGATGTAATATTTCAAAAGCACCCCTACATTTATCAGGCTTTTTGGACTGGCCGCATTTAAACCATTGTTTTGAATAGCAGGGGGGAGATAATCCTTCAGGTAGATGTGCGGTTGGCCCTAAGAAAGGCTTAGACAAGGAAATGCAGAAAATCCCACAAGACAAACACCAACAAACAACTTGTAGAAAGACCGACATTTGCTTCAGAGCAAATGTAGAATATTTCACTCCAATTCTCCCTGCCAAAACAAAAATAGAAGATTCTAAATAAATCTGCAAAAATAACTATAACCCAGACAGATTCATCTGTATGGAAATAAGTGTTTGTCTCCAAAAGGCAGGGTTTGTAGCCACTTGATCAGCTGTAATAGAATGAGAGACAGTCAATATTTGTGTGACCCGACTGTAGAGGAGACACGTCTTGCTTCAGTAGTTCAGGAGATCTCTAGAGGGTGTTAGCTTATCTCACCTTGTCATGACGTAGATTTGGAAACTTGAGACACCATCTCATTGTACTGTCCTACATGTATGACTTACCTGCTTACAAAAACCGGCTCTTCCAAAAGTTTTCTGGGTGACAGTGATGCAAAAATTTTTTCAACCCTCAACACAACATTTCACCTTAATATTCACTTGAATCCAGGCCATTAGGTACCCTTACTGGGTAATGAGGCCGTCTTCGTGGTGTAGACAGTTTCGGCATTCAGTAGGAGAAGGCGTATCCATATCTACATGTATCAGGGTGGTCCTTCCACTCTATAGCCAACTTGGTCTTGAATACATTTACTGAGCTGCTGTTTCTATTGGCCATATTTGTAGTTCCTCCCATTTTTCAGTACTAGAAACAGATTGACTACAATTGACTGTAAAAAAATGGAATTGCACAGAGAGAATAAAGAAAATGTTGTTTCTGCTCCAGATCTTGAAATACTGCAATTGTGCACCTTTAGGGCACCCGAAATTGGACCTGTGCACCCAAATATTTTTGTAGGTATTTTTGTACATATCAAATGTATAATATTATACAGGATATTCTTGGGATCCGAGTGTCAAAAAAATAATAAAATCTTTGTTGAAGTACTTGTTTAAGATTTTGAAGTAAACTCCCATTTCAGATGGTTCAAGGTCAGAAGAGGAGCAGTAAGATTTGTAATTAGGTTTAGTTTTATATGATGCACCCTAAAACTTTTGTGTGCACCTAATTTTTCAGGTTGCGTGTATCAGTAAAATCTGTGTCCATAATATCACCAGGGTCCATAATATCGCCACCTTGAGAAATAGTGTGCTTAAACATATTTTTACTGCAACATACTTTTGGTATGCACTCCTTCACACATCAAATGTACATACCTAGGGTATGTTGCAGTAAAAATATCTTTATTATAAGCACACTGTTTCTCAAGGTGGCGATATTATGGACCCTGGTGATATTATGGACAAAGATGTTACACCTATTGTGCACCTATTCCCAAAAATTAATTTCGAGCCCTGTGTACATTGTTATAACTTTGCCATGGTGTTGCAGGTCCAGATCAGAGATTTGAACCGCTGGGAGGGACCATGATGCACCTGGCCTGCGTGGCACAGAATCCCGAAGCTGTCAGCTACCTGACCTCTGTAGGGGTCAACCTCAAGGCACAGGACAGGAATGGTGAGTAAGAAATACCAATTTTCTTAAAATGTATCAATAACTTTTCAGTGTATGTATGTTCCCATCTGGATATCTTTTTTGTTGTCAAAATGCCTCAAGGTTTATTCAAAACTTCTGAAGATTTTCCACAAAATCTTAATAAGATGTTTCAGCTAAATCTCCAGTATCCAGAAAGGCAGACCACATATTTCTGTTTGCTTTGATGATGCTTTTTAGTGTTGTTTACTTACACTTATTTAACACTGCAGGGCTCAAAATACTGGGTGTATGTGCACCTTATTTTTATTTAGAGCTGTGCATCCAATTTTTTTGTGCACCCAAATATTTTCGTAGGTTTACATATTATGTAAAGGTGTTAAATGTATAGTTACTGTATACAGCATATTAATATTCTTAACATCAGGATGTGTCAGAAAAATAATAAAATCCTTGCTGTATTGCTTTTCTTAACAAAATGCATTTAGTTTTTGCTGACATTCTACTTATTTTATTTTATATGGTGCACCCAAAAAATTTTTTGTGCGTACCCAATTTTTTAGGTTGGGTGCACCAGTGCACCAAAAATGAATTTCGAGCCACTGTACTGTATTACACTTTATATCATACCCGGGCCGCGATAACGTTCAATAATGGGTTCCGGACCGGTCCGTACTTCCATGGCTTCCATAGAACGATTCGAACATGTTTTGCCCTATTATGACCGTGTGCGCCACTTGCAAAAATTCAAATAAAGAATTTGTACGTTGGAACTGATTTTGTCGCATTTTCGGGTTTAAGGACATCAACCTTTGGATCATTTTGCATTGAAAGGTGTGTTTTCTTGGGTGGGTATGACATAAATAAAATACAACACGGTATATTCGGCATCACCCTCGGTCCCGGCCCTCCCGTGAGTCGGATCACGGTACCTCGGGCGATACGGAATACCCCGTGTTGTATTCAATATGTATGTATGGCCTTCATGTGTATTGTACTTACAGTATACACTGTACCTTTCAGGTCGAACAGCGGACCAGGTGTGTTACTGTCCCAGGACACGAAAGATCCTTCAGCCCTTCAAGTCTGCCATGCAGGCCGTCGCACAGCCCTCCCCCAGGAAGAAGTCCGTGGCCTACGTCAGCGTGCAGCAGAAACAAGACATCTTCTCCCTCGCTGAGGAGGGGCACTATGATGAACTGCAGATTAAACTTCAGGTGATCTGGAAAACTTTGATTTATATGTGTTTTATGCATGATTAGGCCATACCAATTTGATTTGTTGGTTCTCGGATTTGACTGCTTCATTTTCTAATTTGCAAAAAAACAAAAACAATTCTGATCAGGCTATATGAATCAACTCCAAAATGCTCATATTTTGGCCCCTACAGTTGAAGGAAGTTGCGCTGGTTGTTATGGTTGTTATAGTTTTTTCCAGTATCAAGTTGTAGAAATGACTTTGTACAGTAAATTTTCATTCTGTAAAATTAGTTATGATTTGTCATTCTGTTAATCATACATGTATACCTCTGTGAAGACTGCAATCTCTTATATGTGTAAAATTGTTGTTATCATATGAATCATGCAAAATTGGAATAAGTGATTCATACGTCTTGTAAGTTGAGTTTTGAGAGAGTTTTGGTCCAGTCAGGATCTGTCCATGGTGCTGAACCATAGTCCATTATGTATTTATGTTACCGAAGGAAAACATGATGTTTTTGCTCTGTTTCCTCTTCTTCTTCCTCTTCTCCAAATCAATAAGGTCAATGACCTAAACCAGATGTCTGTCACCATGGTAACTAGTGTTAGGTTTCATCATGTTGCAATTTTATAGGAGTAGGGATTTATACTCCTGTACTGTCTGGCCAATGTATATGAATCTGTTTAAGTAAGAATTAACAGAGCAGACCCAATGCGGAGGTAAATATTATGCACTTGCTACAAACTTTCTAGTTTGTAGTTTGTTTGCATTATGATTGCTGAGAATGTTTTGTTTTGCAGACAATGGAGTTTGAAGTAAACAATGAGAAAAGTGCAGAGGGAGACTTACTTATCCACATAGCAGCTGCAGGGGGTAAGCAATTATCCATGACATCATCTTCCATATTTGGGCATTACCTTTGACAACTTATCTTGAAATTTCATCTGTGTTGGTAGAAGTCATTATGAAACAAGTTTAAGCTATAATTTCCAACACAAAAAATTGGACTTACCCAAATATTCCACTGTACAACTCCAGTCTTTGTCAAGGAATGAGCAATTCACCGCTTTCATGACGTCACGCAGATAACACACGTGACTCCGTGAGCAGTGGATCATAGGTTGCAGAAAGTCTGTGGTGCCCCCCGTCTCTGTTGAGGGATGGTTGTAATGCCCTGATGTAGATGGCCTCTTTAATCCCTCGTGCAAAAAAGTCCGCTTCTGTGTCCAAGATTCTTACTTTATCTAATGGGACTGAATGTCCAGGTGATTCTATATGTTTATGTTGTGAGACCTCCGAGTTAGTCAAGCCAGGTTGTTTGTGTTCTAGGAACCCTTGACGACATATTCTTCCATATTTGGACGTTACCCTTGACATGTTCTAACTGAATTGACTTCCATATTTGGACGTTACCCTTGACATGTTCTAACTGAATTGACTTCCATATTTGGCCATATAGGGGTTGATCAGCTGGACCTGTTGATGACCTTGGTGTGTATTCAGGGTGCCGACGTCAACGCCTACAATGGCAAAGGTCAAACCCCTCTCTGTATCGCTGCCGACTTGGGCCACGCCATCACAGTGGAGGTAGGTATTTTTTCTGCCTGGAATCCTACAATGTATGTTTTGTAGGTGTAACAGGCCAGATTGTACCCCAAGCCAAAGTGTACCTTGAAAATCCAAATCCGTAACTGACAGTTCTGAATAGAACACTCGGGTTCCAAGTTCTACATGTTCCAACAGCAGAAGGCATTGGAAGATTCCATTGCTGCATGGGGGTATAGACTATTGGAACACTTAATATTTGGGACAGGGTTGATTTAGGAACAGGTCCATTTTTGATATGGGGGATGTGGTGAAGCCATCTGCTGCGTTTGCTTCTGAGCAAATGTCGGCCTTTCTAGTTTGTCCAGAAAACCTTTCAGACTCTAGGTCTCTCTTTTGCCCAATTTAAAAGGAATCAATATGTGTAAAGTTCTTTTTTATCCAACTTATCCGACTATTATTTTCCTTCATTCTGTATTTCTTTGACAATGTATTTTCTGTCCAGGTGTTGATCTGTATTCTGGGAGCTGATCCTAACAAGTGTGACTTGGTTCGGGGATGGACACCTCTACACTATGCTGCCTCTCACAACTACATGGACATTGTCAGGTAACTTTGTCATCAGTACTTTAAGGCTTCATATTTTAGTTTTTTTACATCTGCAACAAAACTGCAACAGAATGCTCCTTCGATCAACATCACGTGTGATACTACATTACCTGCGACAACAAATAAATTCAATTGTACATGTTACTGCAAAATGAGGAGCAAGATAGGAGATTTTTTTCCTTTTTGCTAACCAATGTAGTGATCATTATTTATTTCTTGTTTAATTTGTGGTGTCAGTTAGAACTTGTGATAACAAGTAAAATTCTTACTCAATTTGTTAGTTACACCAGCATTTTTCAGCTCAATTGTTGTTTCATAATGTTTACCATAGCAGGCAGAAAACAATTTGTTTTTGCTCTGTTTCTTCTTCCTCTTCTTCTCCAAACAAATAAGGTCAATGACCTGAACCAGACGTCTGTGACCATAGTAACTAGTGTTGGGATACATCTTGTTGCAATTTTATAGCAGGAGGGATTTAGACTCCTGTCACCATATATGAATGTGTTTGAGTAAGAATTAATAGAGCAGACCATATGCAAAGGTAAACATTATGCATTTGCTTTAGAAGTGCTACATTTCTAGTTTGATAAATTTTTAGACCACGGTATGAGGGGGTCTGATATGATGACGTAAAAGTTTGTGTTTCATCTTCTGTCTTGCTGTTGCCTACAACAGTTGTCTGTTGAAGCGAGGAGCAGATGTGAACTTGGAGAGCTATAACGGACTCCGACCAGATGACGTGGCCAAGAGATACGAGGCAGCAGACTGTACAGAGATCATTGGGTCAAAGAGAACAGAGAGATGTCGGTACTATCGGCACCTGGTGCAAGAGGTAACCAAAGTACATGGGTTCTAATCCATGAAGAGATAGTCTGTAGAGTGATTATCAAGTATATGCTTCAGTTATTCTTTTTTGTTATTATTCAGAGATAATTCAAGATTATATTATCATATCAACCTTTCAAACTGTGTATAAAGATGTTGTATAAAGTAGAAGAATATTGCCAGATATGAAGGCATTAACATATTTAGTTATGGTTAAAGTTAGCCTCCCAATTTTTGAAAGTCATTCTTTCTCATTACTGTAATCAACTTAATGTTCATGGTAGCAAAATTTCACGGTCTGAGAAAAATGGAGGTGTTCACAGAACTATATATTCACGATTGTGACAGGTGCAGGAAAAAGAAAGTCGGCAAATTATTTGTTAATGGTAATGATAAGTTCATTGCACAGAAGTGACCATATAAATCGTGTACATAAAAGTACCAGCAAAAAATCAGGAATATGGAGTGTATGAAAATTGGTAACTTCTCAAGCTTTTTGGCTGCAGTATCCACACATTTGTACCACATGTAGCTGATTTTTAGGTTTAACAGAGTTTTGTAGGTTTCACAATGTTTTCTGCAATTCTACATACTTCTCTTCGTTTTTATGAGAACTGGTAGTTTCTTAAGCTTTTAGTCAACAATTTTTATGTCACTGTAAAATTCTACCAGATTTTCTATGTACGTTTTTTAACAGAGTTTTGTAGGTTTCACAATGTTTTCTACAATTCTGCAAACTTTCAGGGCCAGCTGCTGGGAAAGGAGCTTACCCGGAGAGATCTGTTTGTAACAGACATGACGGGGTCGACACTGCTGATGGTCGGGGCTGAGAACAACCGCGTAGAGAACATGCTGGTCCTGCTGGGCATGGAGGACTGTCCTATAGACGCACAGCACGAAAGGGTAAGGGATGGTTCACTAACTATCATGGAGGACTGTCCCATAGATGCACAGCACGAACGGGTAAGGGATGGTTCACTGTCAGGAAGTGAGCCGATGAGAGAAAAATACATGGACAATATGTTCTGTTTTCCTGTCCTTGGTGCTGATTGGACAATCTGTACTTGGGGGAGGTTTCCATGTCCTTGGTGCTGATTGGAAAATCTGTACTTGGTACTGATTGTACAATCTGTACTTGGTGCTGATTGGACAATCTGTACTTGGGGGAGGTTTCCATGTCCTTGGTGCTGATTGGACAATCTGTACTTGGTGCTGATTGGACAATCTGTACTTGGTGCTGATTGGACAATCTGTACTTGGGGGAGGTTTCCATGTCCTTGGTGCTGATTGGAAAATCTGTACTTGGTACTGATTGTACAATCTGTACTTGGTGCTGATTGGACAATCTGTACTTGGTGCTGATTGGACAATCTGTACTTGGGGGATGGTTTTCCTGTCCTTGGTGCTGCTTGGGCAATCTGTTCTTGGAGGGAAGGTGTCCCTGTCCTTGGTGCTGATTGGACAATCAGAAGTTGGTGCTGATTGGACAATCAGTGCTTGGTGCTGATTGGACAATCTGTACTTGGTGCTGATTGGACAATCAGTACTTTGGGGAAGGTTTCTCTGTCCTTGGTGCTGATTGGACAATCTGTACTTGGGGGAAGTTTCTGTTTACTTTCCTGATTGGACAGTCTGTACTTGGGGGAATTTTCCCTGTCCTTGGTGCTGATTGGACAATCTGTTCTTAGGCAAAAGCCTTACCTGTCCTTGGTGCTGATTGGACAATCTGTTCTTAGGCAGAAGCCTTACCTGTCCTTGGTGCTGATTGGACAATCTGTTCTTAGGCAAAAGTTTTCCCTGTACTTTGTGGTGATTTAACAATCTGTTCTTGGGAGGGATTTTTCCCTGTCCTTGGTGCTGATTGGCCCTAAGAAAAGGAGATTCTGTTTGGCCCCACTAAAATCTAGTTGACTTGTCATTTAGACTAGTTATTCACTTAACCTTTAGACTACAATTTCAGGGTAATCCAAAAGACTAGATTATGCATTAAATTCTTATATCAGTAGGTATGTAGATGCTATCTCAAATAAGAAATGCTGGATGAAGATTCTTAATGAAGGCTTAAAAGACAAAACTGAGGAATTTTTTTTTACTTTCAGAGTGGCTGCACAGCATTAGCTATAGCAGCACGAGAGGGCCATGCAGAGGCTGTGAGGACCCTGTTGGAGTAAGTTATGTAGTGTTATAGAAATACATGTACACTTTATGTACACAGCATTTAAATGAGCTATAAATGCATACACATACAACAAACAAGCTTTACAGTTCTTTTTTGGCAACGCCTCATGGGTGAGCCTTATGGTACTGTATTGTGTGCAGTTTGCAAGAATTCTAGGAATTGTACAGGGCACAAGGAGGCTTTCCAAAATCATGAAATCATGGCAGTGCCATGCAAACAATAACCCTAACAACAACCACCGTCGCCATGGCAATGTATGTTTTCATTGTCAGTCTTGTTGTACTTATTTGAACTTTGTTCAAACCTAAAGAAAATTCAATTCTCTAACATAATCATGTGTTTCTTACATTGTTAGAAGTCCAGTTACAAAGTGAATAAAACAAATGTTGTTTTGGATTGTGTTTCAGACACGGAGCGAACCCCAGCATCCCAGATGTGGAAGGCCTGTTACCCCTGCACCATGCCTGTAGGAACAGGTGCTTCATTGTGGTGGAGATCATATCACACTACAGGCAGGGACTCACGGTGAGGGAACAGCTCAAATCATGGAAATCACAGCACTCATCATCTATTTGCTAACATGACACTTTGTCATAAATTCTGTTGAAAAGTTTAGTTGTAAACTTCAGTGTTCATATTAACAGCTTTTTGATGTATAATTGAATATTTGATGAAGTGATAGAAGTATCTTCATAAAATATTCTGTATTTGGGGGAAGGTTTCCCTGTCCTTAGTTCTGATTGGACAATCTGTACTTGGGGATTGCTTCTTGGTGCTGATTGGACAGTCTGTACTTGGAGGGAGGGTTTCCCTGTCCTTGGTGCTGATTGGACAATCAGTACTAGGGAATGTTTCCCTGTCCTTGGTGCTGATTGGACAATCTGTACTGGGGAAGGTTTCCCTGTCCTTAGTGCTGATTGGGCAATCTGTAATAGGGAATGTTTCCCTGTCCTTGGTGCTGATTGGACAATCTGTACTGGGGAAGGTTTCCCTGTCCTTAGTGCTGATTGGACAATCTGTACTTGGGGGAAAGTTTCCCTGTCCTTGGTGCTGATTGGACAATCTGCACATGGGGGAAGGTTTCCTTGCTAGGTATGTGTGTTTATGGAGAAAGCTGTAATGCTGTTACAGTATTAAATGTACTTTCATGTTGTAGGGTTTGGAGCAAGCATTGAAGTTAGCCACAACCCCAGAGATTCAGTCAACTGTAAGGTATGCCATTGACAGGTGGGTTTCTAAAGATTCTTCAACTATATCCATGTCTATGGTTATAATTCAGCTTAACCAGCAAGATTTGCACATGAAAAACAGATACTTACTATAACACTCTTTCAACATAAGCAATTTAGTAGATGTATGAGTGACAAAACTGTATAATGTCAATGAAAGTCACCCAGAAACTTACAAGAAAACAGCATCTGAATAGAGTTTTAAAAATGTATAGATTTGCTTGAGGAACTGTTCTCTAAGCACGTCGGCAGAACATACTGCACCTGCGCAGAACCCTGATTTTTCACTGTTTTCGTTGCATTTTTGGTCAACGTTGCATTAGAATTTTGCCTGTTGCAGACGATACCTTTTCCAACATAACATGTGGAAACTACAGACGAGATGTTTTCCTTATATGCGCGAATACGATCTTATATAAGACGTTCTGCCTAAGTGCTATGTACAATACATTATGAGTTTCGCAGAGGTGCAGTGCGTTCTGCCGACGTGCTGCATATCTATAGTGATACAGATGAATGACATTGTCTTACTGGTTATTGCCCCCCCCCCCCCAGGCGACAGTCAGAGTTAATCACCCCCCTGCTGTTTGAATGTGCCATCAATGGAGACGCAGACAGACTGTTCTGTACACTAGAGTCTGGGGATGAGGTCAACCAGACAGTAAGTAACACTTGTTATAATGCACTATTGTAGATAAATATAATCAAACTTGTCCATTAGTAAGACACTGATTGGACAATCTGTACTTGTCCTCGTTGCTGATTGGACAGTTGAACTTGGGTAAGGTTTCCCTGTTCTTGGTGCTGATTGCACAATATGTACTTGGTGCTGATTGGACACTCTGTACTTAGGGGAAGGTTTCCCTGTCCTTGGTGCTGATTGGACAATCTGTACTTAGGGGGAGGGTTTCCCTGTCCTTGGTGCTGATTGGACAATCTGTACTTGGTGCTCATTGGACAATCTGTTCTTGGAGAGAAGGTTTCCCTGTCCTTCATGCTGATTGGACAATCTGTACTTGGAGGGAAGGTTTCTTTGTCCTTGGTGCTCATTCACTACAACAGAATGAAATTTGTCTGACTGGAACTGCAAAAGTCAAATGGACTTTTATTTCACACTTGCTATTTTCACTACCAGTACATAACCCAAAATAAAAACATGGCCATGAAAAACTGCTTTTTGTAAGAAACTTAGTGGTCATAACTTTGACACCATTTTCCAGACTGGTGCAGGGGACTGGCCCATGTACCTGGCAGCTGAGAATGGCCACTTGGATGTGATGAAGATCCTATATGAGGTATGCAACATACTTCCAGTGACTTTGGTTTTGCCAGTAACTTTGGCAATGCTGTCGAGATAAAGCTTTTTCTACTGTCAGGCCACACCAACTTAATTTTATGGATGACAAAAAAAATCACATGTGGCCAGGCTCTAGGCCTGGGTATACCATGGTAGTTAGCGACAATCCAGAGCTGGTGGTAACTCTGGAGGATGGCACCAAAGCTCCACAACTCAAGAGATCAGTACATACATACAGTGCCGATTCATACATTCCGCAAAAAGCCAGCATGTGCCGGCTTGTCGTATATGTCGCTAAGTACTGCTGCAAATTCACAATACCGGCTTTGTATTCCTGTGGTTTAGAAGCATTTTTATTTTTGGCCAGATTTTTTTTTCGCCCGCGTGCACTAGTTTGGGGGTCTTCAGAGGATGTCATCCATAAAATTAAGTCGGTGTGGCCTAAGTGCAAATTGAACAAAGTACATGTAGTTGTAGTTAGTTGATTTAAGACTTTACAACCTGTTTTTTTTCCTTTACAGAGGGATGGAGATATCTCCAGACTGCACAAAGCCAGTAAGAACACAGTCCTACATGTAGCCTGCATCAGGGGGCACCTGCACGTGGCCAAGTATGTGCTGCAGTTCTGCAGAAAAACACCAGGTGGCAGTCCTGCACTGCTGGATGTCAATGCTGTCAATGCTGCTGGGCTCACAGCACTGCAACTTGCAGCTGAGAAAGGTACACAATAGTAGTGCCTTTTTAACCTTCAAGTTAAAACCAAGAAAACTACAGTTTAATTTTCTATAAGCTGTTATTCCTTATTAGGCCACAGCAAGTAAATTTAATGGATGACATCCTCCGCAGACTCCAAATCTAATGCGATAGAGCCCCCCAAAAAACCTACATTTTCATATTTTGTCAGAGGGCAACAAAATTTCTTGTTATTTTTCCCAAAATCAGGCGAAAATCAATGCGCACGCTGATGTCATCCATAAAAATTACTTGCTGTGGCCTAACGTGTGCATTACGACCTCACTAGTATTACTACCCAGTTTTTAATCATTGATATATTTGTAGATAATGTATTATATTTCTTGACATTGTATTGTACAGTATTTGATGTTTAATGTGTAATATTTGAAGTTTATTGTATAATATTTCATGTTAGTGATGTTCAATATTGTATATATCAGTTTTGCATTCTTTATAATAATTATAATCTGTATTTGCATTGTACATGTAGTGTTGGAAGGACAACTTGTAAAGGTGTCAATGCACCAGTTTTGTCCTCCCTTTCGAAAAAATAAACAAATAAACGTGATTTTCCCGTTGTTGCTAGGTTACAGCCGGATTGTGCGCCTGCTGTTGCAGAACGGTGCGACCACCGCGCTGCTGGACTCGTACGGCGAGCTGTTCTCCTGCCCGCAGTACCAGGGCGTACAGATGCTCATCGAAACACACCGCAAACAGCACTTAGACAGGTGGGCACAAAACACCCCTATTTTGTGAAAATGGTTTGGTCTAAATGTTAAGAGTTATTATATTGTAATGATTGTATCAAACAAGTCTAGATTCATACAGTCATACATGTTATTAATGATCTTTCACAGCTTCACAGTATTAGTAGAAGTATGATGTATGTAATGTTACATTCAAAAGGGTTACTCTCCTAAATTTTAACTGTGTTACTATGATACTACATGTAGGTTTGTAGGTGATTGTAGGTTTGAATAGCATGTCGGCAGAACGTATTGTGCCTGCGCAAAACCCAGATTTTTCACGGTTTTCGTTAGATTTTGCATCAGAATTTTGCCTGTTGCAGACAATATCTTTTCCAGAACAACATTTAGAAACTATACAGATGGGATCTTAACCTTATATGCGCAAATATGACCTTATATGAGACGTTCTTCCAAAGTGCTATGCATAATACAGATTACAGATTTTGCACAGGTGCAGTACGTTCTGCTGATGTGCTGGTTTGAATTTGACTGTTATAAGATTTGTAGTTGAACTTTTAGGTCTTGAGATGCTTGGAATGCCTTGACTAGTCTTCCATTGGCTATACCCTCTAAGACTCAACATTCCTGTAGTATGCAATTTTAGCAACCTACCTTAACTTTTAATTTACAAATGTAGATAATCTGCTTGATAATAATATTTTACGTCTAATATTTTCAGTGTGTGTAAAAGTAACTACTTGTATATACAAAATTAATGTAATATTCTAAACATCTTACACATAGTTTAGAATTTTTTTAGGATGCTAGTATTTTACTTTTATCTGACAATATTTTCTTCTTTTCTGTTATATAGCTGTACAGAGTGTAGTCTTTTTTAGCTGGACAGGCGCTTTTGTAGTAACACATACTTCTCTCTCTCTGCATGCCCTGCCCAACAGTTGCCTTACTTTGCTGACAGGTAGAAATTTTCTGTAGTTATGTGGAGTGTCGTGCTTGTGTTGGTGAAGTTAAACAATAGTTTGAACATATAAAAACACACTATCTGTATGTTATGTGTTTTTAAGTAGGTATTTGTGACCAAGAGTCATCTGATTTTTGCTCTAAGATTAATAAGAATTTCAATTTTTCTGTCAAAAGCATGTGAGAAGAACATTTCTTATGAGTGTTTTTTTATCAAAATCATCATGTTAATTTGGCATTTCATTACTGTGGTAGTCTAAAAGCCTAATGGCTAACACAAATGCATAGAACTTCTCTTAGACCCTATTTGACCTTGAACTTAAACCAACTCTATTTTGTGTGCTCTTTACATCCAAATCTTAATGAGTTAATTTTATTACAAACTTTTTATGCAATGTAGTACATAGTCCTGTGTACCAGTTCACTGGACCGGTTCCGGACTTGCAAAAATGTTTAGGTTCAAGTCCAAACAAAACTAAAAGTCAAGAACCGATTCTGGACTTATTACAAAAAAAAAAGTGTCACATACCCCTTTTCTTTCCAAACCACCTAAAACGTTCCATAGTTTGCAAAATGAACAAAAATGAAGAAAATTTAAATATTGCCATCGGGCATCGTCAAGTGTCGGCCTCCATGTTATGTGGCCACAGTTTTGCCCAGACAACATTGCAAGGTTGCCAACATGCAATTTTGTATAATTGCCAATTGGGTTTAGGTTCGGACTTACAAGTCCGTAACTGAACCTAAACCTCTGGACTTGAATCCGGACCTGAACCTAAATGTGTGTACATGTTTGTACAGCTTTTTAGTACTGTTGTTCCAATGTTTAAAAAAAATGTACATTACAGTACTGAAAACACCTGTGAGAAATTATGAAACTACATGTATGTGTAAGTAACCGCCCCCCTCCCCCATCACATGACCTCTACCCAGGATCCTTGAGTGTTTGGAGCATCGAGACCTTTTGGAAGACGCCGGTAAACTCTTCAGTATGCCCGAGAAACACACCCATGCCTCGGGCCTGGTCTTCCTTGAAACTGTCTTCCAAGACTTTTGGAGGAAGTTGCAAAGGTAGCAAGTAAACCATGGGACCTGCATGCTGTGTGCTTGTCTAAGTAGTACATGTAGTTGATATAGTTTTAGGGGTGCCAGAGTATACAGTGCAATTTTACGAAATACAGTGTAAATTTACTAGTATACAGTGCAATCATATTAGACTAAGTATACAGTGCAATAATTTATTTTACTTAGAGTGTACAGTGCAATTTTACTAGTATACAGTGCAATTTTACTAGTATACACTGTATACTAAATACGATTGCACTGTATTCTGTAAAATTGCACTGTATTCCGTAAAATTGCACAGTGACTGTATTCCGTAAAATTGCACTGTATTCTGTAACATTGCACTGTATAATCTGGCACCCCTGAGTTTGGTTATAGCCAGTAGTCGCGCATTGTTAGCCATACATTTTGTCTGTAGCCCTCTACTGCATTAAGACTGTTACAGTATTATCTTATGTAAGTGGAATATTATAATTTTTTTTCATAACTACCTAATTACACATGTAGCAAATATGTTACCATGTTGTCAGTACAATACATACATGTTTACTAACATTTATGATCTACTAACAACATTAAGAAATTTAGAATATAATGTAGCAGTTGCAGCATTTTAATGCCAATTGCTTTGTCAATGTAGCTGTGGTGTTAGAAGCATGACATACTAACACTATGCTATTGTTTACTAATTTGCTTTATTTTGCTTGCAGTTGACACTAACCCAGTAATACATTTTGTAGTCCCATCATAACAGTAGTACCATGACAACATTTTGGGGCCAAGCAGTACTTTTTTTAGAAAAAACCTCACTGAATTCTTCAGTGATTTGACAAAAAGTTCAGATTTTCAAGCCTTGGAATAGATTAGTTTAAAAACTGTCACAAAACTTCTGATCTAATTTTTGTATCCAACAAGATTTAGTGTTGTTCAATGTAGAAAAAGGAAAGCAGGTGTCTTGAATGATTTGTTTTCTGAACTCATGAAATCTTTCAAAGCTATCTTGAACTCTATTCATATAACGCCTAACAATCCATTATGAAGCAAGTTTAAACTATAATTTCCAACACAACAAATATGGACTCATCCAAATTTTCGACTGTACAACTCCAGTCTTTGTCAAGGAATGAGCAATCCACCACTTCTGTGTCACACAGATAACACACGTGACTCCGTGAGCAGTGGATCATAGGTTGCAGAAAGTCTGTGGCGCCCCCCGTCTCTGTTGAGGGATGGTTGTAATGCCCTGATGTAGATGGCCTATTTAATCCCTCGTGCAAAGAATCCATGCAAAGAATGCCTAACAATCCATTGTATTAATTTGGCCTTCCTTTAGGATTATGGACACCTTGAGGAACAAGAAGGGTCTCCCGCAGCTCAAGACGATCTGGCAGCCTCCGTTTGACCACAACATGCGTTCCCAGGACGGAGACACGCCCCTCATGGTGGCTTGTTCCCAGGGTAACCTGGAGGTAGTGAAGTTTCTGTTGGAGTCAGCTGTGTATGAGGACAGTGGTCTGTCAGATATGGACAGGTTAGTGGCTTGAAGATATTTCAGTACATTCCGCACAGTGTCTAAAGATAATATCCAGTTAGTGCTGTGTACCGGTTCACTGGACCGGTTCTGGACTTGTAAAAATGTTTAGGTTCAACTCGAAAAATATCTAAAAGTCCAGAACCGATTCTGGACTTATTACAAAACCAAACTATGTCACATACCCCATTTCTGTCCAAACCACCTAAAACCTTCCATAGATTGCAAAATCTGTGCTACAAAATGAAGAAAACATTGCCATCGGGCATTGTCAAGTGTCGGCCTCCATGTTATGTGGCCAAAGTTTTGCCCAAACAACAAAGGTAGCCAACATGCAGTTTTGTATATGCCATGGGTTTAGGTCCGGACTTACAAGTCTGGAACTGAACCTAAACCTCTGGACCTGAACCTAAATGTGGGTTAGGTACACAGCACTATATCCAGTACTGTACTTTCTCTAATAACTGGTTAGGGCATAAGTGCAAAGAGACCATCAGACATAACAGTAATTTCTCTGTTACCATACATCTGCAATAATAACCATGTATCCCCGTTTATCCCATCATGATGCAATCATGATGAGTTATGCAAATATTTCATCATCTCTGCAATGGAATAAATGTATTAAAATGGTTTTGTATTTTTAAGTTGACAGGATGTTTTTGTTGTGTTGCAGTAGTCTGTTTGAAGATGACCTGTCAGATGCAGACTCAGGCACGTGTGTGGAGGACTCCACACCTGTGGGAGCTTCCGCTTCTACTGTTACAGGTACGGACAAAACAGTATTTTATTAACGTTCATATTGGTAATTTCTGTGTCTGTTTTGCCCTGAACATCCGTGAAACTCACAACCAAATGAGGATGATGTTTTGTAACATCAATGGACTAGACCCCCCGCCAAAAAGGTTGTATGAAAATATGCAATGCAAAATGGCTTTAACTTACAAGCAACAATCATAGTAGTTTCTGTGACAGCCAATCAGCACCAAGGACAGAGGAAGCCTTTGACAATAACATATTGCCCAATCAGCACCAAGGACAGGGGCGGCTTTTGCTAAGAACAGATTGTCCAATCACCACCAAGGACAGGGAAACCTTCCTCCAAGTACAAATTGTCCAATCAGCACCAAGGACAGGGAAACCTTCCTTCAGGTACAGTTGTCCAATCAGCACCAAGGACAGGGAAACCTTCTGTCCAAGTACAGATTGCCCAATCAGCACCAAGGACAGGGAACCCTTTTGTCCTAGTACAGATTGTCCAATCACCACCAAGGACAGGGAACCCTTTTGTCCTAGTACAGATTGTCCAATCACCACCAAGGACAGGGAACCCTTTTGTCCTTGTACAGATTGTCCAATCACCACCAAGGACAGCAATGCTTGGAGCTGATTTGGGCAAATCAAAAAATAAGATAGAAAACTGTTTATCTCAAACCAATCAAAAAATTTGTAATATGATAACAGTGTAGTTGAAATACCAAGGAGGTTTAATTCATTGATTGAATCTAAACCTCCTTTGTACAAGACAGTACAGTCACTAGAGATTATCATATAAAATAGTTTGTGCCTAGCTACTGTTTAAACGGCTTAGCGTAAACAAGGTTGTAAATGAGCATGAAAGTTCATCTGAGTTGGTAAATTACATTTTGAAAAACTTAAACTGTTCTCCAACTCAAAATTTGACTCACCAGAAATTTTCGACTGAATCACTCAGTCTTCCTCAGCTATCTGACCCAAATGCTGTGGACACGTGATTTTCCCCACATGTGACGTCAGCAAAGGGTCAAATACAGAGGCCATATACATCAGGGCATTGCTCAACCAGGACGGGGGGCGATATCGACTTCAGACAACCTTTGACCTTTTGCTGACGTAACACATGGGAAAAATCACGTGTCTACAGCATTTGGGTCAGATAGTTGAGGAAGACTGAGTGATTCAGTCGAAAATTTCTGGTGAGTCAAATTTTTAGTTGGAGAACAGTTTAAGATTTTCATAAGGTTGTAAATGATTTTTGAATGTTATTTCCAGCCTCAGACACCACAGCTGTGAAGGAACGTTACAGCAGTCCACAGTTCCACCACACTGGAGAGAAGGAACTTCCCCAGCTCCCGTTTGCAGCTGAAAGCTCCCCCTCCCATGGTTAGTTCATGTGCCTTGTGTAGTAGCATATAGGTTTATCATGCATTAAGTCCATTGCATTTACTATTTCACCTTTAGCTTTGCACTAAGTTGTGATGCATGTAGGTGTATGTCACTAATAGCCCTGTACATTCCACCTGTTATTTTATTATTTTCTTAATCATCTTTTATTATTAGTTTGTTCTGTTTCTTTTGTTATTATGATTGTACCTAAGTTAGTTTATACAAAGGCCCATAAGTACACTTAGTATTTTTTATTCCACTTTTATTTTCTATGGGTACTTTGTATTTTCTATGGGTACTTTGTATTTTCTATGGGTTACTTTTATTTTCTATGGGTACTTGTTTTTTCTGTGTGTACTTTTATTT